TTGAGATTTCTAATCATAGGCTGTTACTGTATTAGCTCTCACTCTCCTCACCCTCCCCACCCCCAATTTAATTCTAGCTGAGCCTGTTTTCTAAGGTGCATCTCGGCAGTGCTTAGCCCCATTTCTCAGGAAAGGAGGCAGAGTGTTTAGGTGCCTTGGTTTATGATGCTGTAATGGAAATACTTTTGAGACATCTGCTCTAGCAGTAGAGGACAGATGCTCAGCAATTTCTGAGAAATATGGTTCTGTCTGTGGCATCTGAAGTTAGAGGCTCAAAAATTAAAAATCGCTCTTGCAAACATCGCTGGCAATGTAGGAATAGAGCAAACCACAGCCTCTGAAAACAAAATTGGAATTGACAGATTTTGTGAGAGCTTTTCATAAAGAAAACTCCTACTGAGGACAATAGGTGTTTAGCCTTTAGACAGGAGGACCAGCCCACCAGAAGTGAACATCAAAGCATTCTATTTTCCATTAACTCCATTCTGCAGCCTACTGTGCTGGATGCAATCTGTCACACGAGTTGTAGCCCAGCAGTCAGGACACCTACCAGAAGTCAGGTCTGGGCTAATTTCCCAGCTCTGTCAGCCCAATGCATCCAAAAGGATGTGGTTAATCTGAAGACATTTGCACAAAGCATTTAAAATCAAACATAACCCTTAATTTCTATTTTTCAAGCAATAGTCTCATATTCTCATTCTTCTTTTAATCCTGTTCTGTAAAATTACATTCACACTGATTTATCATCTTTTTTGGTGGGCCCAATTTAAAACCAACTTAATGCAGGAAAGAAAACCGCCCTCCCTGTTGCCTCTTTGAAATCATACAGGGCAAGGAATCTTGAACAGGAGGAAGATGCTTCAGTGTCTCTGACAGGAACTTCACACATGGTACCCTCACATACCTAGCATTATAACCATTGGTGGATTAACACCGTTCCTTTTTGAAGGCTGTATCGTATCTAGCATATGGAAAGGAGAATGCATCTCATCCTCCTGCAGGCTGGACACTCATCCACTCAAAATCCAAAAGCTCCAGCAGGCTGTAGCAGCTGGAGCCCCTAGTTAGCATTACATGCACAGTTAACAACCCCTTGAATCACTGCACTCTGGGAGCACAAGCAACAGAAGAGAAGCATCATCATCATCATTATTATTTTTATTATTATTACTATTACTATTATTTTGCCTTTCAAATCCTAATTTCTAAAACAACAAATTATGAGCCTTGCCAGTTTGGGCTTTCTCTGTAGACAGATGGGAGTGTTGATCAGGAAGAGGGAAGAACAACGTGGAGGATTGATCAAGCAATAACATGTTAGTGTAAACAAATGCATAATCAGAAATTTGGGATTTCTTTCTTAGTTCCAACAGGCAAGTGCTAGGACACACAAACTGGCTTCTACTAGCACTTTTTTAAAAAAAATGCTATTATTTTTATTACTCGGAGCAAGAATTTCTTGCAGAACTATTTATTATCACGGATTAACCCAGTAGCCATTAATGCAAAGGAATAGGAGTCTGTTCTCAAAGTAAGAGACAGCTGAATTTGCAGGTTATTGACTACTTTTGAACAATTACTTCAGGAAATCATTCAAAATGTGACCTTTATGAAAAGCACAAATCACGGTCACTGTCAAGACTTGCAGAGGGGTCTTAAAGTTGCCAAACAAACCAGGAAAGGTATCAGAGAAATTATCTAACACCTACAAAACAAAAGCATTCTCAAAGGCATAAGTATTGTCATTAGCTCAAAGACGTTTTAGATTAGGATTATCACTGTATTCAGTAAGCAACACATTTAAACCTGGTGATCTTTCATATGCATATTATCTCACAAGAGATCTTCATTGCCAGCATGCTTCAAACCTGAATGAACTTTGCACAAATTGAAGGCCCTCCAGCAGAATGTAGGCTGGCACTTAAGGATCTGATGGGTTCAGTACGCCAGAGGCTGAAGATGATTATCAAAAAGCACAGCATTACACATTTGCAGCTGCTTAGATGAGCTGCATTGTCATCACAAATAAAAATTGTTCTCAGAAAGTAAATAGAGAGCCTGCTAGGCCTCTGCTATTAACAATCTTTTGACTAGAATAATGATGGATCTGATAAAGGTAATTCCTGAATGGTTACCATGAATTAAGTGTTCCAAATGTCGTAAGTGATGTACAAGTTCTCATCACAGTTCTAAAAACTACTATTGCCTTCTCTGTCCAATGACATTTAGAGCTAACTACAGCACATTCAAAAATCACATCTGAGGTCAGAGCAGTTCTTACAGTACACTCTTGCTCTTTAAGAAGAGTCCAAAGACCAGCTGCATAGCTGGCTACTTTTTTTTTTAAAACAGAGGGCACTATTCTCTACTTATAAACCTCCAGGGCATTGTCAGAAGTATCACACCCAGGATTGGTTTCTGTGTCTAGTATTTTGTGTGTTCTCTGGCATGGCAAAGAGGACATGAATACATTTGAAATGTCAGTGTATTTCAAACTAAAATTCATGCCTTGTTTAAGTATACTGAGTTTGAATATGTAGCTTTTTATCTATCTTTTTAGCTCCAAGTGTGGAGCCCCCAGTACAAAAAAGACAGGGAGGTGTTGGAGAGGGTGCAGAGGAGAGTCACAAAGATGATCAGGGGACTGGAGCGCCTTCCCTATGAGGTCAGGCTGAAAGAGCTGGGCTTGTTCAGCCTGGAGAAAAGAAGGCTGCGGGGTTACCTCACTGCAGCCTTTCAGTACCTAAAGGGAGCCTACAAACAGGAGGGGAATCAACTCTTTGAAAGGGTAGATAACAGCAGGACGAGGGGAAATGGTTTTAAGTTGAAGGAGGGGAGATTTAGGTTGGACATCAGGGGGAAATTCTTTACAGAGAGAGTGGTGAGGTGCTGGAACAGGCTGCCCAGAGAGGTTGTGGATGCCCTGTCCCTGGAAGTGTTCAAGGCCAGATTGGGTGGGGCCCTGGGCAGCCTGGTCTAGCATTAAATGAGGAGGTTGATGGCCCTGCATGTGGCAGGGGGGTTGGAGAGTCATGATCCTTGAGGTCCCTTCCAACCCTGGCCATTCTGTGATTCTGTGACCACTTATAATAATAGGACGTTCAATAAGTGATTTAAATAACAACTACCAGAGAATAAAAAGTACTAACAACAATAAAAATTCCTAAAAGTTGTATGCATCCTTCATATCCTGTGTATCTTATTTTCCCAGATATAATGCATTTTGTCTTTTGATGATGCTTATTGATAAAACACAATTTTGATATCAAATATGAACACCTAAGGTAGAATGCAACACTGTGACTGAAATTCTGCAGGCAGTGTAGTTCTTTGGCCCCAGTCTACATCCTATCTGTGGTATGTAGAGATATGGATGACAGAACTTGAAACTGCTACAGCTAAAGTCCTGTCTGCACTCATAATCCTTAAAGTTGGAAGGGACCTTTGTGGACTAGATGGCCCTCAGAGGTCCTTTCCAACTCCAAGGATTCTATGATTGTTTTGAACGGGCTTCACATTTTGAAGCACTGTTAATGGGTGAGAAAGGTCTGGATGTTAGCTCTAAGGTCTATGAAAGCACCAAATGCAAGCTCCTAACTAGAGAGAGCTTTACAGTGACATTGCTGTTGTTACTGTCTTCAGTTTTTCACGCTGCTTTCAACGGCAAGCTATTCCATAGAACATATTTACCAGTTTTACCTTGTCCAGTTACTATGGTACCTGCAGTCAGGCTTTCTGATGCCCTGTGCTATTTGGGCCTAAAGCCCCACTGCCACAGAGCAGCAAGTGTGGGCAGCTGGAAGAGGGAAGGGCAGATGCAGTGAGGGTGCAGGTCCACAGTACCCGAGCAAGCGCAGAGCAATTTGGTGATGCTAACCAGGTTCATGAAGTCTCATGATTGCTGGACAAGCCCACGGTAACGAGGCACAACCATGGTGAAACCAGGAAGCAAAATTTCTCTTGTTGGTCACTATTTCTGTTCAGTCAAGGTAGACCAAATTACTGACATTAATGAGTGTTCTCTGAAACTTTCTTCAAGAGTCATTGATAAATAAATGCTCAATTTCAATGAACATTTGGTGAAAGGCAGCTGCAGTTCATAAGGGCTAAAGAAAATGGTAAGCAATCTAATCGAACAAAATAAGAATGCTTTTCTTGCATTTTTTTTTCAATTCACATAGATTCCCTCACTTCAAATCCATGCCTGTTTTACCAATTCAAAGTTACCCTATAGCCAGTTATTAATGCAACATCATTAGGTTGGAAGCTTTAAGGCTGTTTTTCTGTACATGAATTCCTTCTACAGTCCATAAGTTTGTGGTATTTATATTTCAATGACACTGGAAAATAACCCCTTTATCTTTCAGCTTCCTCCTATGGCTCTATGATTCCAAGTGGGAAAAAATCTTAGCTTGGAAATAATAACAGCAGCTTCTGCTTATAGTCTAGTATTAGGAAGAAAAAAACCAACACAAATTCTCAGAGTCTAATAGTTCTTCAGTGGTCAGGGCAATTATTACCAACAATTCATATCATATCACAACTAGCACAGCAAAACTTCCACTCTAACTGTATGTAATTTTGTTTATTGAGGCCAACAGAAATCTTCCCTCGTATCTGAATTGAAAGAGGAATTACTAAGAAATTCTGGCTCATAGTGGCATTCTTTTCATATACACTGTTAAACACAAGATACCTGAAACTAAAGAACTTTCCATAAAACTCAGACCACATTATTCCAAAAGCTTTGGGAGTGGAAGGGAGAAGAAAAAGAAGAAAAAAGGAAAAAGAAGAAGAAAAGAAAAAAGGAAAAAGGAAAAGGAAAAGAAAAAAAGAAAAAGAAAAAGAGAGAAAAAAAAGAAAAAAATAGTGCAATTACAGTCATTGACAAATCAAGCGAAAAAGGAAGCAGGAGTATCCCTTTCAAGACAGGAGTCCTCCAATGTAACTCAGATACTATATTGTATAAAAACTGTGTCTGCTCAGAATTAGAAATCCTGTGTTGCTGTCAATTTATTTGTTTAGTTGTTGCTATACACAGAGTACAAAAGTATGTATTTATTGTCTTACAATCAGAAAAAGACACATAAGAAAATTATATTTTCATCCAATTCCAGTATTGAGTAGCGTCATCTGGGCAACCTAAAAGATCAACAGTTGTGAGGAGTCAAATAAGACACACAAACATCAACACTGAAACAATTCTAGTAACAAAAAGTTCTGTAAAAAGTTTCAATAGCAAACTGCTCACGAAAGCCACATGTGCCTGAAAAGTACTATTTTGAATTTCCTTTAAAAAAAAAATAATCCCTAAATAAAAGGAAATCAAAGGAATTTAGACAGAAAATAATAGGTGGATGCCAAAGGTGTACAAATTCAAGCCAGATAAAAGGCACTGAATGGTTTGTTAGTCCTGTGAAAATCTGTACGCTGTACCAGATTATAAAACTTCCTTTTAACATTTTGCCTCCATCTTTGTATATCCTTTATTCATTTCTGCTGCTCAGTCTTATCAAACTTTCATTTTCCTTTCATTATATACTTCCCATACAGAGATTATGATATGACTTATTATACTGAAAATGCTGAAGTACAAAACTAAAGATATGATGATTACAAAGCACATAAACAAAGGAAATCAGTTCCATAAACATCCACTTGAGTCAAGCCTATTAAAAGATCGCTAGAAACCTAAGAAAATGAAACTGTTGAGGATTACATAGATGAAGACAATTTTCAATTATATTGTTGAGATTTTGGATAGGGAAAAGTCTGGTTCTTATAAGTATTATTTATTGCCAAAGTAGGGCAGGACAAGACTCAGATTCTTTCTCTCCTCGGCAGTGTTGTGGTTCATTCTGCACATTCAGATGAGAGAATTGCTTAAGTACCAAAAGCAACAGCAGTTTCTGGCTGTTTCAAGAAAGCACTGCATTTTACAGGAAGATCATTTTGTTTTGCTGGCTGGTGATATTTACATGGCAACAGTGATGACATCTTTCAAACTTTTCAACAGGTTTCAGTACCAATGGCATTACCCTTAAGATTAAGATATAATCCACCCAAGACACAAACAACAATTCAGCATGAATATTCCACGTGATTCATGATGAGCAAACTCTTGGAGTATACAAAACTAGAATAGTCAGGAATATCTTATGATGTGGTACAAGTGCTTTAGAATTTCCATTGTCAGTGGTACAAAATTATGTAACGACACCTGGATAATACTCTTCTTCAGCTGGTGCCATTAACCTTAGTTCCGTGATTCTGGTCTCATAGCAAGTTCAGACACAGCAAGGGATTCACATACTAAATACCCTCAGCTTTGAGCCATTTCTTCTGCAGTCATATGGTTCAGTTATTCTGTAAAGTTTGTGAGAGGCTCTCACAGACAAAAAAACAATCTCAACAGCAACTATCCCACCATCGCAGTCTGCTAGCTCATCACATTTATTCTTTACCAAGGAGGAACGTGGAATCTTCTCCTCTGGTCTGGATGTCCTGATCTGTATCTTCTACCTGAAGGAAATCAAAATAGGAAAACCTTGTTTAGACTGCCTCCAAGAAAAATTATATTCACATATATCTTGAGAAAATAACAGGTTCTTCTTCAGTTGACATGTAATTATGGATAGTATTTTGAGATGTTAAAAGCTGAAGTCCATGACGGAGCTCTTCCTGAAGCTCCTAGGCTACTGTTAACTTCTAAATCTATGGCCAAGTAAATGCTCCAGATAGTGAATTATAGAGGTCATATATAATGAATTATAGAGGTCATATATACACAATGGTTGGTAGATCAGACTGTGCGAATTCAGGAAAAGAAAATACACTATTTTGAACCAGATAGAAGCTATACTAAGAAATATTTTCATATCATTTTAAGTGTGCTATATACAATACTGCTTTACTTGTACACTGTAGGTTCCTATAAGCAGAGTAGGATCCTAAATGTAAAACTTAGACAGAATAGAGTTGACCCCCAAATCCAACTTCTAAATACAAGTGTAAGTATGAAATTGTCAAAATACTTCACTATTTCCCAACCTCACTGTTGAGGATTCTTGTGGTAGCAGACTGGTAGCTGAAATTATTATCCATCACTTCTAGCACTCTGATAGCTTTTATTCATTATGTCCTCATCCCCAACAAGGGTCCATCAGACAGAGGGTTCTATCCTACCAAAGGCAGATCAGAAAAGCTATATCCTTGCCAATGCCTTTCACCATTTCAAATGTACTAAGGTATCCTCAGCCATTCATGTAGCTTTTACAACCAGTCCCACTGATGACCTTCCCCTATTTTCAGCTCACTTTTGTGCTTTTTCAGAGAGGTCTTCAAATAACAGCATCAATGCCCAAATTACTGATATTTTTAAACAAAGTTTTAGAAATATAAGACAATATGCAAAAAAGGTTAGACTTTTTGTTCACAATCTTTTGTACTTTGACTTAGAACTAAGTAATAGTTTGTACTGAAAAAATGCAACTGATAAAATCTCAATGTATATCAGATTCCCTTCTTTCAAACCCCAGATGGAAGATTAGATAGTAATTACAACAGACCAGTGGTTAGTATTCATCACAAAACGAGGGATACCTCAGTTCAATTCTTAGTCTGCCTGAGGGTATTCAAACCAACATCTCATTGAAATCTAGTGAGTCTTAGGTTTATGCTTTCTGGTGGAGGCACTGTTTCCTCCACTGCTGAAGTCAAGCCATTGTCGTGCAATTCTTAAACATCAACTGATAAGCACGAGCAAAGAACACATAATCACTGAGTACTTTTCTGACAGAAGATATGGGTCCCATGGTTACTGTACCATTAACTTTTAAAGTGTTTTTTAAAATGCATTTTATTTAATGATTTATCTATAATATGCAACAGCAGGAAATTTAACATTTAACAATGGCCTTGCAGAAGTCCAGACGATGAAATCAAAGCCTGAACCTGCATCCTTGGGTCCAGTGAGACAAGTCACTAGGTTAAGTGCTCTAGCCACTAGGTCAAACAGGTTCCTGAAATGTATATGGCTAGATATCAGTAATATCATAGCAAGTTTTACCACAAGCTATCACACTTTCTTCATTTTTATTCCCTGTTTCTCTGATGAGAAACACACAGAACAGAGACAACAGCTACATAATGAAGCAAATCAAATACCTGTCTTAACATCAGCAAACTTATGAAAAAGAAGCTTTGTCAAAACATCAAAAATCTTGGCAGGTCAGCTTAAAACGAGCCTGAAACACTTCAAGACTCTTTCATAAGGAGAAGCATGTTTTCCTACTAAATCATTTTTATTTATAACAAAGATTTAACTGCAATTACAGCATCATATTTTAAGAGTGCCCTGAAGGTAGTAAATAAGGTTTAATTTTGCCTGTGTAGAAGAAGACATAATATTTTATGAATGTTATTGAATTACAACACAATTCAGTGCAGTTACTGTGGAACATGCTTTATGGAATACATCTAGTGGTAAGATCTGTGGAGGTGAACAGAGTGCCTGCAAAAATGATTCCTGAATAACAGGCTTTTTGAGACAGTCACAATGATAAGTTTTGGTTTTTAGTCAGCATGAATGCTATTGTTGTATTTGTTACATATACCATCAAACAAATTTATCTGTGAATTAAATGATAATAACTCATTTTGAAGACTACAACAAAAGCATCTGACGCACATTAAAGTCTTTACTGTATTTATTTATTAACACTTCTCCCCAATCACAGTCTTCTTTGAAAACATCATCTGGAAACACAAAAGAAGTTTAGGCTCTGTAGACTTAACAAAATAACTGATCTTTCTTAGACACTTCTCTCCCTTTTGTTTATTTAATCTATGTTTATACACCTTCATTTATAATAACAAGGAAGTAAGACTGAAGTAGTATCAACTCAGTGGAGTTATCCACAGTGATGCATTGCTGAAATGTCTGTTGTGTTCAAGAAGTGGGATTGGTAAATGATTCAAGATTAACTGATTAACTTTTGTCAAGACAAATCAGGACATCCATTTCTATTATTTAAGCAATGGTCTGGAAACTGAGACCTGATCTAGAAAATCACGTAAAATGTGTTTATTTCCATGCTTAATTGTTTTACTGAAGTATGAACTAAGTTTTGCAACTGAAGACTTTACACTTACATTTCAGTGCAGCTGTGCTGTATGGGAACTGCTGAATCACGGCCTGAACCTCTGATTGACCACCTGAGGTGAGCAATGAGTCAGCCACAGGGGCACAGGTGAAGGCAATTCACCTGTGCTGCCCGAAGGGGTGGAGCCTGGCTCCATCTCTCCTAGATCCATTTAAGAGCTGACTACCACTGGAGAAGGATCTCTTTTGGAGATCTGCTCTGCTGGAGTTTCACAAGAGAGCCCTGGATATGGGTAAGCATCCTATCTTTTCTGCTTTAGTGTAATAATTTCATAGCTAAGCTCTCTGGTATGCTGTAATATCTGTATATTCATTGATTGTAGATGTGCTAACTCATTTTAGATCTGTTACAGTTTTAAACACCACTCAGCTGAGACCAAGCATGTAAGGTTTAAATACCACATGAGATATTTTTTTTTTTTTTAGAATGTTGTGAGGAAAAGAAGATGTACTTCACTTGGTGGAGTTAGTTTCTGCTAATAAGTTTTAAAAGTTTTGTTGCTGAGTGCTGTGGGCACAGGGTAACAGCAAACATACAATATATAAATATATACACTTATATACATATAAACTGTATGCAGACCTGTTATAGTATTCACAGAAAGAATTCCAAATACAAACATCTTTACCTTGTGGTTGAGGATTTCTCCAGAGGTTGCCCCTCATTTGATTATGATATGGAGAAATAAAGGAGCTTCTGTGTGATTGCTGGAACATAGGATTTAGTTCTCTTCGGTGTGTTCCTGAAAAACAGAAGTTACTAGCCAACTTCAATGGTACAGAAGATAAAATGAAGAAGAACAGAGATAACATTCTTTTTCTTCCTTTTTTTCTTTGGGGGGGGGGGAGGAGAACACACTTATTAGATTTATGTCAAAACAGTTACATACAATTATGATTCTTTCAAACTACTCAGCCTAATAAGTATGGTTCTTGTCCTCATTTCCATCTATAGACATCATGATTACAAGCTGTTAACAAGTAAAATCAGATAATTTCCTGACACAGATTTGGAAACTGAAGTCATTACAATAAAACAGAAATCTCTGTCCAAATTAGAATCACAAATAATAATTAAAATGCTTAAGTACTGCTCTGAAGCAATAACAGACACTAACAAGATCTGGAATCATAAAACACCAACAGATACCCTTAGTTTTGAATGCTACCCACTAGTATGGTATAGTATCATATCCAGAAGCAGATAGAAGTGCTGTTACATAATGCAAAGTTCTGAACTAACAGAAAATCACTCTGCCTGTTGCAATTTTCTCAAGAAACCTGTAACAGGTAGATTTTATCCTCACAGACATCATACTTGATTAGGTATTAAGCAGGTAATAAAGATAATACCAGCAAAAATGCTCTATTACGTGATGTTCAGGTGATTCAACCACAATCCAATCTGAACCAGATCAAATTTACAATGCTAGATGAGTCTGTCATGCATGGATTGATAATTAATGAAAGCAGAACCAGATCTCTACTAGTAGACACTGAAACTATAGAACAGTTTATATGAATAAAAAGGTCCACAGACAGGCTACCTAGACCATCTACCAGTTCATACATTCAAAAGCTATCAAAAAACCTTCCTTTCTCTCACATAACTTGAAAAAGCACTAAGTTCATAGAGAGAAACTGACATACAAAAGGAAGATAGGGGTTCTTAGTGTTCTGTGTGAAGATAATTAGAGGCTGAAGGCATAAACTTTTTCTTAATAGAAATAATTAGCAGATAATGCCTCTGCTGTCTTATCCATATTTCAACAATTTAGAGACACTACTTAATAACAGCACTTTGAATAGTAATAATGACATTTTAAAGTCTACTAATTTCAGAGTGAATTATTTCAAAGCCTCAAAAACCTCAACAACCAAGATATGTGAATCATGCTGAAAACATTTTAAATCTTTTTCTGAAGGCCAGACAGACCAGGTGGGAAAAGGAATGTCTTCAGTAAAGCAAGCCAGATAGTTGGAAAAAAAAAAAAAAGTAAGCCAAAGTCTTAGCCTGAAAGCCTTTCTCCACACTGCCTCAAATCTTGCCTTGGTTTTGAACTGCATCAGTGTGTTTTCAGTGCCTTACTCAGACCTTAGACTGTCATGGCTAGAATAGCTCCCTTTAGGGAAAGGCAGAAAAAAACCTGTTATTTGGTTCTTCCTCTAAAAATAACCTTAGTCACTGAGCAAATAGCAGTGGTTTCTGTCAGTGAATAATATTTTATTTACTGCATGTATCTCACCAGCTATGTAACTAGATGGAAATATTTTATCCAAACTTGAGTAATCCAATCCACATGAATTGCTAAAAGTGGGAGGTATTTTCTCAAATCTCTCCTTTGGTTCTTGGAGAAAAATCTTATGATTTATTTAGCTTGACATGTTCCCTAGGTAAATGCTTTTGCAGTTGAAGGATAACTGAGCTTATCAACATGTTGATTTGATTGAGAAAACTAACATAGTGCCAACCTGTGGTAAATCCATTTCCTCTTGGTCTGCTCTGTATTGTTCTTTTCTTCACTGCACAAACCTTGCAAATGAGTGACTTCAGATTCTGGAAGGGTGTATACAAAGACTCCTGCAGACAACAGCATTAACATTAATGGCTGTTCTATCTTTCTATCTTCAGGTGTAGCACAAATCAATTACACATATAACAATCAAAATTATTTTATTAGTCCACACTCATACATATGTGAAGATGTCAGATTTTCTGGTTCACACTTTTTTAGGAAATGTTTAATATTAAAAATGGATTCTTGGAGGGATTATTAGGGGTGCAGAAGGAATGTTTTTTCCTATCTTGGTTATGTTTGTTTTTCTCCTCTGCTCACATCTGTTTATTACTTACTTCCATGTTCTATTGTTTTGAATTGCTACCTAAGCTTAAGTCTATCAGCAGTACCTCAGGGAGAGACAGGTAAAGACTGATAAAGTGGAATGAACGAGTGAAAAATCAAAGTATCTTAATCTCATACATTACAAACACAATAGTAATACATCTGCCTTAACTTCAGATACTTGTCTGATAAAATGGAACTTCATCTAGAGACATGGAGGAACTGAATATCAGTGTTTACCCTGTGGGCTGAAAAATTCTGCTGTCAAAAGGACAAGCCAAAACTATTTGAAGACTCAATACTATGAGATGTGGTATATGAGGGCTGCTCTGAAAGCAATGCCTCCTATTTTATTATGATGGCACCTGACATCAGAGGCAGATATTGGTGGTATGGCAACAGAGGTTGAACCTTCCCACCAATATTGCATTACATTTTGTTGCTGTGTGACAGATGGCAGCAGAGGGGCAGTCTTAACCAATGGTGTCTGACATGGAAGTGTGTATGAAGCGGAGCTGTGTGACTGAATTCCTCCATGAGATAAAAATGGCACCCAATGACATTCACTGATGCTTGCTGAATGCAAAGAGAAACCAAAGAGTGGATGTGAGCACTGTGAGGTGGTGGTTGGTGTTTCAGCAGTGGTGACAGCAGATGACCTCCATAGTGGGTCACTTCCACAGACTGTTACAAGTGCAATGTGAAGGCTCTTGTTCATTGCTGGCAAAAAAAGCACAGCTAATGGTAGTAACTGTTGGAAAAAAAGTTTTGTAGCTTCTCCACCAAACAGAGCTATTGTACTCTATCTGTTGTAGTTCCCGTGGAAATAAACAGGAGGTGTTACTTTTGCAGCAATCTACATATCTAATTTTACAGGTTTCAGTGAGCTTTGTAGAAGTGTCACATCCTATAATCTTCTTTGGTTAATTTATGTGGGGAGTTGCACACACTGAAGAGAATGAGGAAAAATAGTAGTTTTTAGAACATCGTAATTAGTGATTTTCATAAAACTGAACTGATTTTTAGCAGGATGACAATTCCATTTTGTAACCTATGTGGTGGAAAGGGGGGCAGCAAGAATGAGAGAGGATTACAGGAAAAGGTAAAAAGTCAACATGTATTGGGACTGGAGGAACTGGAGAGGTTTCTTAAGAGTCTAAATCTCCGAACTCCCTCATGAATTTTCCTAGCACTTTTCTTTTTTTGTATTAATAACCCTGTTTTCAGACAAAGTCTTAAGTGCAACCCACAGACGTACAATTTTTTTAATACAGACTAAGTACAGTCTGTGAAGAACTCCCACTAATTGGAAAATCCTCTTGCTATATTACTGAGAGAACAAATTCAGGATGTGTTCATGAAGGTTGGATGAAAGGCATGATCAAAAAAGGCCAAAACATATCACTTATGCTGACCCAGTGGGTAATTTGTTTTTAATTTAAAAAAAAGAAAAAAGATAATGAACATACTCTGAGAAGTGCAATAAAAAGATTAATGAAGTGATAATATCATTACTTCACTGCTTTATGGGACTGTTATATCCAATTTTCTGTGTGGATAAACCAATATGATTACTATTATGTAAAACAGAACTAGTGCAATAAGAACTGAGTATGTATATATATTTTAAAAAACAGGATGGATATATTTTCGATTCTTATCAGCTTTCATTTTTTTAATCTTTAAAAATTTCCAAGGCTGTGTAGAGCGAAATTTCAAAACAAACAAAACCATCTTGCCCACAAATATATTAACTGCATTTAATTTACATTTTCTTTCAGCAAAAGAATACATAAGTGAACCTTAAAACATTCACAAGTGCTTGTGCACATGTAAATATTTAACCAAAATGGTGTTTCCACTGTAGTTTTCATAAAGTTATTAAATGTATTTTAAACCATCATAATCAAAACAACTCTGATTCTGAGATCTTCTGAACTCCTTGTAGCAATATAACTGTACAGATACATAGATCCTAGAAGTTACGAAACAAGCAGGGACACCAAGGCAGTAACTTTTTCCTCTTATCTTTACAATAACAAAACACCAATGTAGAATAACTTTTTTTTTCCCCCTAAATATAGCACTGTAGCTATCAACAGGTTAGATTTATGATGCTGAAGGGTAAACTGCTAACAAACAAGTGCTGAAAGATTTTGGCTTCCAATGATACATTAAGCTCTGCCAGAAACTAAGTACCAGTTTTATTTACTAAGTTCAATTTATAGTAATAGGGGCAACCAATCACATACACTTGTTGCCTTGCCAGTGTCCCCAGCTAAACTGAACTGGCATCTGCATCTCTCAGCAATTCTCCCAAAAACAGATTCTTGCTTTCAAACTAATAAGCTATTTTATTAGAAAGCTATTTTATTAGTCTGGAAGCTCTCTTTGCCATGTATCATACCTTAAAAAAAATTAAAAAGTTATTTAAAATTAACAGGGCTGGGCTATTTCTTTCTCCTGACAGAACAGTTTATCTGGGGTTTGTTTAAACTTGAGTATTATGCTTTCTAAAATCCTATCCTAGATATTTTAGTTGGTCAAATAAAACTCCAGCTCTGTTCTAGGGATCTAAGCATCTTTCCTCACCTCCTGAGACATAACCAGATTGAAGTTCTATTTTAGCATAATGAGATTTTCAAATGTTAACTAAAGCATACCAGTTAATATATATTTAGAATAACTCTCAGTCAATCTTTTTTTTTTTTTCAGATTTATGTATACATATGCTAAAAGCTGTTAACTAATCTGAATTCTACCTGAATGGAAAAGAAGTAGTTTCACAGAGGTGTATGTAAATTTGTATTTTTTTTTTAATTTATTCTTTAGATCTCCTATTGTTCTGCGAAAGTTCTATGGGAAAAATTGAATGAATAGCTGGCCCAATCCAAAATGTGCTGAAATCAACACACTGATGGCCTCAAGTTGAGCCAGGGGAGGTTTAGGTTGGATATCAGGAAAAAGTTCTTCACAGAAAGGGTGATTAAGCACTGGAATAGACTCCCCCCAGGGAGGTGGTTGAGTCACTATCCCTGGATGTGTTTAAAATACATTTGGATGTGGTGTTCAGGGACATGACTTAGTGGTGGGCTGTCAGGGTAGTATGGTTAGGTTGTGGTTGGACTTCATGATCTTGAAGGGGAATGGATGCACTTGAGGCCAGGCTAGATGTGGCTCTGGGCAGCTGAGTTTAGTGGTTGGTGACCTTGCCCATGGCAGGGGGGTTGAAACTAGATGATCTTTCAGGTGCCATTCCTTAAAGATCAGGCCATTCTGTGATTATATGAAGGTTTTTTTTCCCACCTGAGCAATTCTAGGATTCTGTGATTCTATGATCATAGGAGCCTCAGGGTTTGGATGGAGGTGATAGTCCTAATCATATATAGGACTCCATATGGAAAGGATTATCATCTACATTCCACCACCTATGTGCATTCCACTACCACTCCAGATTAGGATGCAAATGAATTGAACACAGAATTGGATAAGAAAACTACAGTAAAACTGATACGAAGAGCACAAGATTGAAATTATTAAAAAATAAAACTCATTTCTCTATAATATTTATTTTAACCACAAGTAGCAGATGTAACAACAGAAAAAAGCCATTTCATAACTAAAGCTTTCAGAAATAACTAAATTGTATGTGTTTCTCAGTTCAACACTGAGAATAGAGGTATGAATTTAAGGTCTCAAGAACTATCTACACAGGTGAGTACAGATATACCCAATCTCCTCTCCATTTATTCTGTTTAAAAAAAACAACCCAGATGATATCTTCCTCTGACTTCCTGTTCCTTCTGGAATTCACTAAACCTTCATCTCAAATTTAAAGCACATAAGAGCGATATTTTAAAGGTATGAAGGAACTTAAAAAGTTATACCTAGTAAGATGATCTAAATATATTCTCATGATTTTGCCTAAAATCTTGCAGCAGAAAGATCTCACTGTATTTACAAGTACTAGTAAACTGCTATGGTAATCTTCATTTTTTGAAATTGCGAACATTTTTATTTCCTTGTATTGTTTTCTGAATATCGGAAACAAAAAGAAAGGCAGATGTTCAGCTTCCTGCACAGTCTCAGTATTTCTACCCTATTACCGTTTATTTGGCAGGAAGGATGAAATAGAAATAATGAAAAGAAGAAAAATACAAAGAAAGGAGGCCAGTGCAACAATAAATATTAATATATGTATAATTATGGACAGTTACACTTTTCAAGGAATAGAAAATTCTCTAAGAGGATGTAAGTACTCACATTGCCTTCCAAAAGCTCCTCCAAAGAGCAACTTCGGTGTGACTTTTGGTATTTTTCTTGAAAAAGTTTTCCATCAAACACTTTCCAGGGCATCAAATCATCCATTCTGAATGGAAAGCCACAGGCACTATTGGCCATGAGCAATGTTGTAAGGCCACGAACCAAAACAGCACCGAGATGTACAGCTCTGGAGTCCACTTGCACAAGCTGAGAATATAAAAAAAAAAAAATTAAAAAAAATATATAGGGAATATAGGCAATCTTACCATGACACAATTCTGGGAACTGCAGAACAAATGAAAAATAGCCCCAGAGCTGTGACAATTGTGGTTTTCTATTGCACAGTGAAATTAATCAAGGGATTCTATATCTCATTTTATTCAAGAAAATGAACAGTTTGTTTCAATAAATACAGCATCACATTCAAGCTTCTTAAGACAGATACATCTGAAGTGAAAACTGAAACAAATGGCTATTCTCTACAGCATTTCTCAAGATGTTAGCAGTTCCCCAGAAAGAATTATGTTGTGGAATGTAAAATATGAACTGGGTGTATTAAAAAAAAAAAGTGTATAATGATCCATTGCCCTTCCACAGCTTGATCAACCGGGAAATATTACAGCACTTATGAGATCATTTAAGTTACAAGATTTGATAGAACAAAGTTTATTGTGCCCAGGCTTCAGAAATACTTTAAATGCTCAAAATTTTCCTCTGATTGCAGACTGAAAGCCACATTATTTCTCTTAAACATGGATGTTCCCAGAAGAAATACAGGAATGGTATGACAGCATCCAGAAAATGCAAACTGAGAAACTCAACTAGACAAGTAAAACTTCTGGCCAAAACTAAGTCAATGGGTGAATTTAACACTCCTCTGTGGCAGAATGTAGCAAACTGTAAAAGCCTTGAATCTGGTAAGTGGAGAACTTTGATTTTAAGTATTTTGTAGATGGTACAAAGCTCCTCAGTAGGGAATGCTGCTTCTACGCTCTGTATTGCAGCAGAATACAGAACTAGGAGCGGTTCATAATGATGTGGACATCACTACTGTAATCCATAGCAGCTGTTGTACCCTAAGAGTAAAGTTTTCCTTACAGAGTAAGTTATACTAGAAATGGAACAGCATTCAAAACAGTCCAGAGTAGAAAGGCCTAGGAATGGCTCAAATTCATCTTAACTCTACTTCCCTGAGAGCTTTGTTTTGTCTGAAAGGCATTGGAAGGTTAGCTTTGGTTGCCACATGATAAGGACATCAAACTATCTGAGAGCAACCAAAGGAGGGCTAAAAGATGATGAAGAGTCTGGAGGCCAAGATGTATGAGGAGCAGCTGAGGTCTGTGTTCAGACCAGTGCAGAGTTGCTGAGGGGAGGCCTCATGGCACCACACAGCTCAGTGACAGGGCCTGAGGGAATGGCATGGAGCTGTGTCAAGGGAGGGGCATTGGGGGTTAGGGACAGGTTCTGCACCAGAGGGCAGTGGAATGGGCTGCCAGAGTTAGAGATGTGTTTGGACAATGCTCTCAGACATAGGGTTTTTTTTTTTTGTGGGTGGTCCTGTGTAGTGCCAGGAGTTGAATTCAGTGATCCCTATGGATCCCTTCCAACTCAGGATATTCTATGATTCACTATTACTAATGATAATATCATCTTATATCTTGAAAGATTCCCAAAAGATTCACAGGTATACACATATACCATCTCTATTCTATTTAAGAAAAAATACAGGTAATGGCAGACAACCTGAAATATTGTACTACTGGATCAGAACTGTTTTCCTGTTATGGTCCATGTACCAAAACCAGAAAAGCTTTGCTAGCAACACATAGCCACAAAAAAAAAAAAACTTTCAAAAGAGCCAAACACAGTAAATCATTTGGGTGAATATAGCTCGAAGTTGGTCATAGGCTTAATCTTGCTGTATTATGAGCAAACATTGTACAACTTAACAATGTGAAAGTGATTTCTATGATAGGATCCCACTAAACACAGACAATGGGCAGGAGAGCTTTGTTTAAACAAACTTGAAGAAATGAGGTTACCTCCACTGGCTGTTTTTCTACAGGGCAGAAGCTAAAGAGGACCTATAGATGATGGCAAAGATACCAGGCAGGGCCACCCAGAACCCTCTAAGAAGAACTGTGGCCACCAGTGATTCCAGAGAGGCCTTCAGGGCACTGACCCAATGCAACACTTGGTTCCTGAAATCCACTCAGTGAGACAACCAAAGACAACCACAGAGATCCAGACAAATGCAGACAACACAAGCTAACTTGAGCAGTCATTCAGAAAATGAAAGGCTCATGATTTATCTAATGTGATACTTCATATTTGAGTAAGGAAGACCTCCTCACTTTAAAATAAAAGTATTTTCAGGATAGGAACAGGCTACAAGTTTCAGGAAATTATTGCCTCCAGCTGCAAGTAATCATCTTCCCAGCCTATACCAGTAACTACATGCACTCTTACATCTCTGTTGCTCTGGCAAGTAAAGCAGGCTTTTGCAAAGCACTTTAAAATGCTGACAGGTACTTAAAATAGGAATGTGGTTTAAATGAACCAGTATTATTTGTACTAAAGTAGACTGTAATGGAGTACAATGCACACATCCAGTTATTAGGTTGCAGCTGAGAAATTCTTACATCACGCTAACATAACTGCTTCTGATCACCTGCCTAAATCTCAAGACCAGCTAAGGAAACCAGTTCACCTCAATTCAGGCTTTAAAATAGATTCTGCTTGGTTTGTGACTGAAGTGATACTTTATGAGTGGAAATCTAATGTGTAAGAACTACCAAGAATCTTCACAACTCTCCTTTTTTGTAATTTCCTCAACAGAATACTTTGACAAGTGCTGAATAAGGTAAGGCTTTGCTATTTAAGCTTGTACGGAAAATGGATGCTATCAAGCTAAAATTAGCAGCAGAGTCCAAAAATGATAGTAGCACATTAATCTGTTGAACCAAATTTGTTGGACAAATTTTATCAATATGACTTACACAACCAATATTCTCTTTATTATAGATACCTGTTTTTTTATTCCTTGGCATACAGATCAGTATCTTCTATTACTGAAGTCTCAGTAAGTATTGATAACACCAAAAGATTTAATTGTTGAAAATAAACTTTTCATTAGTATTTGAAACAGGTATTTAAGTTGCTGAAAAGAAAATAGTAAATGCTGTCTTAAACAGAAGCTTGTCTAACTTGATGGCTGTTAGTAAATGACCATTCATACCTTTTTGTCATTTATTGACAGAGATATGCTCTTACTGTCCATTTTAATCCTACTGGTACCAAGGATGTATAACAGCTGTTAGGACAGATTACTAATGCTATTTATAGATGATGGATGCCATCTGGGCCACAAATCTCTAAGTCAGAGATTTCAAATCTTTATTTAATTTTGTTCTGAAATTTCTAAGCATACATACAACACAAGTATGTGATTAATCTAACTTTCTGTGTTGACATTATTCACGTTAATGCAAATGCATACGTATTTGCAGAACACGCGTCTAAATAAGAATTTGAAAAATTTTCCTTTTGATGGTGACATACAAAGTAATAAAACATAGAAAAGGACTTTGAGGTTTCAGTTTGAATGACATCTCAAGCTGGAGATCGGTATAGTGCTGTCATTGATACTAGTTGCTGCTTAGTGAGTATGAAGTCTGAGCTAGCAATATAATGCTAGCTGTGCTCTTCAACTGAGATAAGAAAGTCACTGGTGGCAGGTTTTACAGGTCCCTAGTCTTCACTGTCTAAGGATAACAATCCAGAATTTTCCCCAAGAACTAATATAAGAGGTGGGAGGTGAAGGGAAGGCTTGATTTTTAGTGTAAATCAATATTACTGAGACTGAGAGAAGAGCTGTCAAGGGTGACTTCTTTATTTTAATAAGACAGGAAATAGATTTGCTAAAGGGTAGTTTTTCTATTTTCCATGTCTGGTAATGAAAAACAAAGAAAATGAAAGTGGAGCGAGTCTATAACAATTAGCCTGTGCACATGGCAAACCACAGAGTTGCTTTGCCATGGGAATGCTCACAACGGCTTGGTGTTTGCAATGCAAAGATGTCATGATGAGGATAAGTGGAAAATTCCAAAAGAAAAGAAGACTTGCCTTCCAGGGCATTACACCCTAGAGATTACTTCTTATTGGAAACTGTGTCTGTGCTTTTTGCTATTTTTATGAACTCAGGACCCTAGTGAATCATGTAAGATACACCCCTGTGATCCTGCTGCTGCTGCTCCTACCATCAGCTGATGACATCTGTGTGAGAGAGACAAGGAGTGCGTGAGAACAGCTTTTCTTGCACCAGCTGCCTGTGTTGTGTTGCTGCCACTGCTCCACCAACACCAGTTCCCCATCCTCCCAGGGTTTGGGGAAGAAAGATTACACTTCCAATTTGCCAACACTGATGGAAGACTGAGAACTCAAAGGTCACAGTCCTCTGAAGTCAGTGTAGCAGAGGTTATTGATATTGTGCTTAGAAAGCCTGAGCTGAACTGGATAACCCAATTCAAAAAGAGAGAAATGCAGCAATATCTACATGACAAATGCCTAATGCTTTTTGTAACAATTTGAGAAATATCTTTGCTAGAAGGGACATCATCAGAGAACAATTTCATACTATGCTTTCTTCTGCTCTACAAACACAGTGTTGCAGCTGATGGACCTTGTAAGTTCAGGCTGGTAACTGTGCTTGTGTGCATTCTCACTGACCACTGAGAGGGTCTTTGCAAGAAGGAATGCATTTACTCACAGATGCAGTCAGCAAATCTAGACTAAAGACTGTAATGTATATCCAGCTGAAGGTTTTTTACTTGCAGGAAAAAATATATACATGATCTTATATATGATAAGCAAATTTTCAGATCAAATAAAATAAATCATTTTAAAAAAATAAAGAAAACATTTTCATGATGTAAAAATACCTTGATGCTTTAAGACCTTTGAGTCTTCTTTGTGGATTCACAAATGTTTTTTCTTAATAGATGTATGAACTGTATCTGATGTGCTTCAAAAGCAGCACTTCTATGTGATATGAATATGGCAAAAACAAAAACCCACAAATCTTTCACCTAGAATGGTGAAACTGTACCAAGTTTTGAGAGCTCTGATTCTGTTTAAAAGATGAATAGGCTCTACCATGCTTAAATTGTAACAGTAAGTATCTGAATGTGCCTAATGTCAGAAGAAACAAGTGACAGCCAGTGGTAAACTGGTCTTGATTTCTAGAAATCAAGACCAATAAATACATGGTAATCATCTCACATTTCTTTATTTACACTACTTCATTCCTCATCTGTACTTCAGTGCACTAGATACTACATTTCATTTAAGAACTGGTTCCTTTAAGTAGGAATTTTAATAGCATTCTGGGGACACACTTTATTAATCATTAATATACATTTTTATTACATTGGAATTAAAGCTGTTCTTATACACTTTTCCCTCACTTTTTCCCTTCTTTCTGCAGCTAGGTTGAATATAAAATATATGAACATGGCCAACATTTAAAATATTAGTTTAAAAATAAATAGCTTTAAAATGGTACAGAGCTTTTTTTCTCCTTTCTCTCAAAGGAGTATTTGTGTTTCTGTTGTAAAAAGGAAAGTGCAACTCTCAAGGACGGGTTAGTACTTGCTTATTTCTGGTTAGAAGTAATCAAGTGAAGAACAGTAACTAAAAATCAGTGAAATTTGATTGCAGCAATAAGCTGCTGGAATTCATGTGATGGTGATAAAAATCTAAGTACTTTTCCAGTTTCACCATTTCTTTTTAGACCCATTTGAACTCAGTCAGTGCATTATCAGTATATTACTTGGTATATACTGATATACCCTCAAACACAACTTAAAACATCAAATATTTACCACAGGCAATTTATGCTTGAGCAATAATGGTAGCAAGTAGATTGTATCTTAAGTTCTTGTCATTGAAACACAGTAAGGTTTAGCTTTGCCTGGGAGAGGTAATGCACGCTGTGATTCAGATATAAACTTCAAATATAAACAGATGAACTGTTAACTGATGACAGCTTCACTGAAGTTAAAATTTGCTACAGCGGAAAGAATCAATGAACAGATTTTTTCAACCTCAAGATAAGAGTCATTTCCAGAATTGCAGGTGTTTCTGCCTTCAGCCCTTTGTATAAATTCCAAGTGCAAGCTGTCAACAGATCCATATGTACTGGAACTATATACTTTGCTCTTGCAAAAATAATCTCAACCAGTGCAACAGCAGTAAATGTAAGGAGCATTATCAGAGATGATAACACTGATGAAACAGTATGTTTACTTGGCAGCGGTCAGCTTTGTGCAATGGGTTGCTGGAACTGTAGTAAGTACCTCACCTGCTCCCTTCACCTGTCACAGTGAGAGGGGAGTTAAGTGCCTATGTTTTGAAAACATTACTAAGGTTTATTCTGATAAAAGATTATGGCTTAGTTTAAGCTCTTCCTGCTTAAACAAGGTGGGTGCAAAGAAAAACGGGGACTGAAAGGAGGAGATCCTATGAGGGTATCTACCAGCAACGGAAACGAGAAAAAACAGTTCTTAAATACTTCCAAAGACTTCACAGTAAATATTTAGGAGTAAATAACCCAATTGTTCAGTGTTTATACCTTGAAAAAGGTTTGTTTACTGTGCTTTGTCAGGAGTTTGATGTAAAATGATACACTGTTATTTACATGAGGTCAAAAACTCCAATGAAGTCAACCTAAACAAAACTGCTTTTACATTTAAGCACCAGAGGTAGTAACAACAAAAAATACCACTGCTTACCAACCCTAGAAGTCTCCTTCAGTTGCAGAAAGACTGCTTTTTAATTGCTTGTTTCATTTTCAAACATACGAATACTTATCAGGATTCTTAGCAGTGACTACGACAAAATCAAGCACAAAGGAAATTTCTATGATGATGAATATTACACTAGTAAAAAAAGTTCAACCCTTCCAAGTTATTCACACAGTTATGTCATAGACAGCACACTAGCACTTGCAGAAAGGTTAAAATAGCATCACTTTTCTTATTGTAACCACAGTTGTGCTCAATTCTGATAATAATGACTGCAGGGCTAATAACAGTTTATAATACACGTGACATTCTCAGAACATTCAGATAAACTCTGAGTTTACAGTCCTCAGGCTGTGACCCAGCCAGCAGTCACATCCTTTCTACAGAAATGGGCTCACTGGAATCTTAACTCTTACCATCTTCACACGTTTTTTTCCCATGCGTGTAGCAATGTCTCTCTCTGACTTGGATGCCCTAATAACGTGATATTACATTAGACCTTCCTCCTCTCTTGGGATATGTAGAGTGCCCTCCTTCCTTTTTTCCCACATTTAGAATATCTGCAGTAACTTATTTCTTTCCTTTCTTACTCCTACAGAACTGTCAAACATTCCTGAAAAAAACCAACATATTCAGAAACCATTAGGAGATAGTAGGAAAAAAAAAACAAAACAGTTTAAAGAACTGTATAGAAGTTCACCTTCCTCTCTCAGTTCCAGAAATTTCCCACCGTAAATCCTCAAAGTTCAAATTTCTTTCACTCTCTTTCTGACACTCACTCCATATTTCTGTATTGTATTCTGTATTGATGAGCATCTCTAACAAAACACTCAGAATCAAGGGCTTCACTTCCCACCACCAACATCTTAACCACAAGCCCAATCTGAAAATCTTATCTACACCTCACCTTAGCCTTCTCCCTTTGTTTAATTCTAAGACTGGTCCATAAGAAAGTTACAGAAGTAAAAAATTTGCCAGCAACACAGCTGCCCAGCAGCTTCCTTTCCACAGCAGCAGACTATACTGGTAAAAGATAACTGTGTGCAACTGTTCTCACTGGAGTGTGCCACTCACTACTGTCTTTTCTCACGGATGTTTTGCACTGCATACTGTGAAACAGTTGATGTGGATTAAGACATCATTGAAACTACAACAAAATTTTGATAGGTGAGAGTTAATTAGCCAAGTTTAGAATTTACTTTATCCCTGCAGTCCAAGTAGATGTTGAAGATCTACTTCATTGTCTCAGCATATAACCATTCCCTCAAATCTGTTTTGAGTACACACTTTTTAAGTGATCTATTTGTGACTGAAGCCAACAGAAGACCAGTGACTTTTAGCAGAATTTAGATCAGGCACTGCTTGGGACATTGAAGCTCTATAACTTTCAGAAAGCTTATAACAATAGTTACTAAAGTCATGTCTACTATATAAGCTCTTTAAATGAAAGCACCAGTGAACTGAGATGGTTAACACAGGGAACTTCAGGAGAACAATCACTGTTTGCCAGTGCAATAAAGCATTTTTTCTTCTTTCTCCCTGCTGCCAACCCCAGTTTCTTTGTATTGCAGAGCAGGTGCACAATTAGATTATAGATACTAAGGTTCACCTCTGAAGTGATGTATTCCAAGGTAAACAGTTCTGGCTAAAGAACTTGCAGGTGCTAAGTCCACGTGTTGAGGAAGGAAAGAGCTATCTGATTCTATTTCAGGACAAGCTTCAAGTCCAAGACAAATCAAACCACAGTTCAAAGCAGCAGCATCTCAGATGACCTGTGAAAGGATCTGCCAACCTTCAGCTTGTAATCAACTATGTTCAAGATACTTGGAATTGATTTGTAATTAAGTTGCAAGAAAGCACCCACTTCCAGAACATCAATTTCTCTTGGAATGGAAAAACTGCTATAGAGGACTTGAAAAGTGATAATTTCTGGTACAAAAATATCAACCCTATGACACAGTTTAGATGAAAACAAAAAAACCTGAAATTTGAGAATCCATACAGCTGTACCATGCAACCATAATTTTAGCTGGAGTGCCAGATTGTCTTTACCTTAAACATCTTGAAATAGCAATAGAACTAGATAGGGGGATTTCAAGACATACTGTTGCCTCACAGTCTTCACTTGATGCATGTTCTTATTGATCAACAATGTAATTTATTTATTGATTGATTTATTTTATGTTTAAATGCAAAACAGATCTAACTATTTGAAGATTTGAACTGTTTTATTTGGACTGATTCACTTAAAATGATGTTGAAGCAATGAGAAGAAAGCTGTATTTCTAAAGCTGAACAAGGACTGAACCAATCTCAGCTTGAAATCACCTGCTGTACTACTGCACTTTTATTCCAGATTAGCTCAGAACACTGAGAAACCTGAAGGTTACAGAAGATGAAAGAATGAGCTGGGAAGCAACCTCAGCCTGCCCATTCCCCTCTGACTAGTTACAATGCTCCCTATCATCTTAAACTTAAAACATTGTCAGATGCAAGTTTTTATGGGAATATAAAGCCCTGATTCGGTAAAGCACTTGGAAATGCATTATTACCAAAATACCCAGATGAAAGCAGACACTGAATAGAACAGATTTATCTGGGAGATCTCTACAATATTCTTTCTTATATTTTATGTTCTCTTTAATCCAACCAGATGGCAAGTAAGTATTTTCATCAGGAACAGTCAGTGTCTCTCCTGATGAGAAGCAATTTCTTTTTTAAAAATAATTGTATTTTGAAAAATATAGATAGCTTATAAAAGTTGCTCAGAGTCTGTCTGAAAATCATGGCATTTAATGGCTCTGACAAACATAGCTTGGCTTGCCAAATTCTGGAATGTTCAGAATCAGGTTATTATTTATGCTTTTCTGTTTGGATGGCAAGGAAAAAACATACCAACGTTAAAAATACAAAATAAATCTGAATTATTATAAATATTCTAAAACACACTAATTTATTTGCATGAATGTGGCCAACTGTTTCTCAGGAAAATACTGAAAGAAAATTATCTTGTGTAATTTTGATATCGTACCATTACCAAGCTAATTTTGCTTGTGTGCCACTGTAAAACAGAAGATATCAGAACCTTCTACACGACCAAAATTCTTGCTTAAACTATTTTTGCCTGTTAGGCCAGTTTGCTGAGGTTAGTCTTTATTTTTTTATTTTTATTTTTAATTCTGAAATCTAATGAAGCAATACTTGCTAGTGATTTTTGTGGAAGTTCATTTGCAACCAAACTGCAAAGACTCTGGAACTTATCATGTAAGATCCAAAATGTCTGTGCTTACCCCGGATCTATAGCACTTTCTAAGAACTGAAAACACTTGAACTGCTGAAGGCATACATTTCAAGTCTGATGTTCTTACCTACCACACACAGCCAAACAGACTCTTATACCAGGGGGACAAAAGATGTAACTGCTCTGAAGTAGATACCATGGCATAATTGGATGTGTTACGGCAAAGCTGTAAGGAGCTTACAGATGCCATGAATTCAAGCAGTATGTGATGCCTATATCCACCTATGTATCTCCCACTAACATTTTGTTAGTGTTTTATGACATACATATAACTTTTATAAGCATTTACAGAACTCATAGAATCATAGAATTGCCTGGGTTGAAAAGGACCTCAAAGATCATCTAGTGTCCACCCCCCTGCTACGTCCAGGGTCACCAACCATCAGACCAGGCTGCCCAGAGCTACATCCAGCCTGGCCCTGAATGCCTCCAGGGATGGGGCATCCACAGCCTCCTTGGGCAACCTGTTCCAGTGCATCACCACCTTTTGAGTGAACTCAAATTTCATCTATCAATTTCCAGGCATATTTGCTTTTTAACCAAGTTTTCCCAACTGATCTTTGGCTGCAACTTCTATAAAGATTGATTCAAAACTTTTCACCACTGAAACAAATGTTCCCATACTTGAAGAAATCCTAGAAGAAATGTATTATTTCTGCTTGTAACTCACTGTGGCCTTTCCTATTTGAACAGTATTTAGACATGTTACAGGTGAAAGATGATCTATCGCTGCACTTGTGAAGAACCAGGGCTGGCACAATATAAGAAACAACACTGCAAGCAGGACTGCTGGTGCCTTTTTTTTTCTACAATGGCTGCAAAGTTAGACTGATGGCTCTCTGGGCTTCCTGCCAGAACAGCACACCAGATTAAAATAGAAAGAAGGGAAATAGGCAACCTGGGGTCCAAAAGTTAATTCTGACCTTATGTATAAGCTCTACGGGAGGCTTGGGCAAAGCAGAATATAAATATACCATATAAGGGGTGCACAAGGAAACCAGATTAAAAAGAAATGAATTTACAAAAGCTCTTGTCTATCACGTTCACATTTCAGTATTTTGAAACTGATCTTGAAAAACAACTTCACGTCTAAGAACTGAGTAGGTACTCGTAGTGAATAGTATAATGTGCATTTGAGTGATATGTCCACAGGACAGTTTCTTTCAGTGTGAAGTAAACTGTACTTTTTTATGGCTTTAACCCATTTTATTCAAACCATGCCCCTTTCTATTTCATGAATTTGTAGGCTTATGGATCTCATTAACTATGAAATATGGATAGCATATCAGAAAGCAGATTTGGAAGTGAAGGCTGAAATGATCTCTTCACCATAAGAGAAAACTGGGCTCTATTTACATTTTCTCTCATGTCAATAGTAGAATTTTTCAAATAAATTCACTAATGGACTCTTGCGCAGGAATAGAGCAAAACTATTTTGATTAAATTCATGTTCTTCACAGAATCATTTAGAAGGAGTAAACATTAACACTGTATTATCAGTTAAAATAGAAAGACAAATCCAAGATTGCAAATAAGCAAGCATTTTCATAAAAAAATTGTAGATGCTGCCCAAGTTAAACACAACTTCTTTGAAAGCTTTGTGATAAGTTCTTCCCAAAGATCACATTTAACTTTTCAGAGAAAAAAAAGTGTGACAAGTAGATTAAACTGTACTCCTCCATTTTCCTCCCCTAAAACCCATATTTATTAGCTGTATACTTGAATCTTCTATAGATTTTAAACACGAATACCTAGAAAATCAACTTAATAAATATCTACTGCAGTGTGATTTCATTTTTGAAAGTACCTGCAAACGGCAACAGTACCCAATCCCAACATGATACTGCCTGCTCCAGTAGTGTGCTTCAGTAGAGTGCACCATACAGCATAATAGCAGTTTCACATGTCATTTACCTTCATGCCATCTTATCTCCCGTAAGTTTTGTGGGTAAACTGCAAAATTTGTGAGCAACTTTGAATTAGCAGAATGACTGCTGGAAAGTATTATGTATCAATTAATATTACATGTTTGGATGCGAAATAAGTGTCCTAAACCACAACATTAATGAACAAGACATCCAATTCCAAGAGAGCAAACTTCCAAGCTCTTTAGAAATTTACATAACAACATCTGTAGAGGCATCTATAACAAACTGTTTCAATACTTCCTGCTTATGCTTGGCTGCCTTCGTGCTTTTACTGAATGACTGCCACATCAAACTTCGTAAAATAATTATACGCTCAATGTTAAGTACATTGTGTGTAATGATGTCCTCAAGACAGAAATAAATCCTACGTTTCCGCTGTTTTCCACATTGCTATCGTTTCATTGCTTCGTTTCTGGCACACAGTTCTAACATTTGACTACCTGCAGAATAAATTTGTGATGAATTTGTAAAAAAAAAAAAAAAAAGACTGAATTTCATCTGTCCAATAATCTGTCTGGAATCACGCTGTTTTTCTTATTTTGGTTTCTATGCATTAGAAACTCACAGACAATAACAGCAGCAGTTGAATTACCTTGCTATCAACATAAAGGACTTCTAAAGTCTAACATGGTCTGGTTAGAGTAGCATAGAGTTCCCTGGAAATATAAACAAGATCTGAGTGAAGGTGAATTGAAGTTCCTACCATTACTAACCCATCCTTACTTTTAGGTAAGCCCACAACTCAATTAGCCATTGACACATGCAGTCTGTGCTTTACACAACTAATAACTTGAATGCAACCTCAAATTGTGACTGAAAATACTCTTGCACAGATATTCAAAAATAACTATTTAGATGATTCTACTGCAATAACTAAGAATCTGTTTTTCAAAACATGAGTTCAAGAAGACAGGAAAGGGGAAAAACACAGATTTGCACAGAGTGTATATAAAATTTAAAATCTCCTGAATAATGGACAGTCATGAGACTTGAATCTTAAGCAAGAATTCCTATCTCCACCCTTCAGCCTCTTGACTACAGCATATGAAGGAGAGCATGCTGACCCTCTGCAATCACTGTACAGAAAAAAAAATGGTGCAATATAGGTTTCCTTAACCATTGTCAGTATCTTCAAAAATATTTTCAAAACGTACTACAGTTTGGTTCCAGGTATAAAAGCAGACTTGTAGAAGCCCTTGTAAATATTAGATAATTTTATATTTCTGCCTTTATCAACACACTGCTATTACTAATACATCACAAAATGATCATTACTTGACTGCTCAAAGGTGCAGTCTCCACGCCTGTTTCCACAACAGCCATGACTATGTAATCCACACAGTTTCTGCTATATTTTCATTCCCTGCTAACCATTTACTAATAAAAAATAAAATATCCAGAACTATGTTAGAAAAGATTTATGCACAGATCATAAGCTCTAAGAGATTAGACTAGACCGCATCAACACAGAAAAGAAAACACAGTTCTCCGTAACCTAATATTATAGTCTAGAATGACCCAATAGGTCTTCACTACAATGGGGCCACATTAGGTAACACTTTTTTCTGGCTGGTTATACATTTTGCCACAAACAGTAATACCAGATTCTATTTAGTGTAGTGATTTTCAAACAGCTGATGTTCTGAAACACTGTTCTTCTACAGAAAAAAAAATAAAAATGAAGCAATGTTGCAGGACAAGACTCACCATTAAAATTTTCCATCATTGAAATATCCAGAAGCCAAGTTAGGCAGAAACCTGAGACTCATTCCTTCACCCTAAGAACACAACCACTAGAGAATATCCTTTCTATTTTTTTCCCACATGATTAACAAATATAAATATTTACATGAACTGTAGCACTAAAAGCCTACGTGTTTACCACCACATTCAGTTCCCATATCTGAAAAAAAAATTAAAGCTGAATCCCCCTCACCCCTCAAAATATTTATCTCTGAGTTTCTGTGAACATTTTCTGTTACTCAGTTATTCCAATCAGTACCTGCAAACTTGCCAGTTCAGCAGCTGACTTTCCTCTGAGGCAGAGAATGAGTGCCACAAATGCATTTAAGTCTTCCAGAGAGAGACTACTGACCTAAAACAGATGAAAAAGTAACACATTATTTGTAAACTCTGAAAAGAAATTTTTTGATAATTGGTTCCTCTTTTTCTCAAGTACACCGAACTTAAATGAATGATCTCATGGAGTTATGACAACCATGAATTCATTGACAAGGAAAAGATATTTAAATGGAACAAAATGCTTCCAGCACCTCACCACTCTTCAATAAAGAACTTCCCTCTGATGTTCAACCTACATTTTCCCTACATTTCCCATTTCCTCTTGTCCTGCTGTTATCTACCCTTTCAAAGAGTTGATTCCCCTCCTGTTTGTAGCCTCCCTTTAGGTACTGAAAGGCTGCAATGAGGTCACCCCGCAGCCTTCTCTTCTCGAGGCTGAACAAGCCCAGTTCCCTCAGCCTGTCTTTGTAGGGGAGGTGCTCCAGTCCCCTGATCATCTTTGTGGCCCTCCTCTGGACCCCCTCCAACAGCTCTCTGACCTCAAGTGAGCCACAGATGTCACAACCATTAGGATTTATTCAAATGCTTACATGGTTACCTGTTGATTGTTACATATTGACATGGGAACAACTCAAGACTGTAAGAAAACTAAATCTAAGATGCTCAAGAAAACATGAAGGAAAAGTCTCAATTCATGCAATAGCTCACTCAAACATTTCTACCAAAAAAGGGAGTACAAGGGGTATTTACTGCTGTGAAAAAGCGTTTGGGGATTCTCTAGATGCACGTGATCACCTCAGGATGAAGACAAAGCCAGCCAGATTATCTCCCTGACTGTACTGTCTAATTCTGATCATCTACTTCCTCTGTGTGAACAATGTAAATTATACATGTGCAATGAGACAATGTACGAATTGCAACTGTTAAGAGGACTCTAAATGAGATTCACAAAGCACTGAAAATCATTATCAATTGGAAACTGAAGGAAAGTTTCTCTTGTAAAAGTGAGGAAATTTGCAATGTGGGATTACAGTACAGCTAAAAGGCTGTAAGGCCTACAACTCTGCGTTGCCCATCTTTTAATGCCTTGATTTTCAGGGAAAGTTGTGCAAACCCCATTTCAATTCTCTTATGAGTTCCTATTAAGACTAATATAAATTACAAACTAAGAGGAAAAAATGAATGAGAAAAATAACAAAAAATACTGATGTAAATCAATAGGAAAAAGAAACACTAAGAAGCCGACTATGATTACTTCATTCATTTATTTGCTTAAGAAGAGCAACCCTCAAGATGTAAATTATTCAACCACTACTGAGAATTGTTTTGTTTTGTTGTGTTTTTTTCTTATCAGATCTTACTATTTATCTCATGGTAAAATACTTTCCTCTGTATGAAGTTATTAAAACTTGCATAAAGCATGACAACGTAAGGGATATCAGAGAAGCTTTAAGCTTCCAAATGTTCCTTAGCTTTCATTAACTCCACTAAGAAGGCTGCTAAGATCTGATAATGGCCCTAAATTGCCCTGTATTTCAGCTCAGGTGTCACCTTTGTGTAGATGGCAACAAACCTGTGAATCTTATACATCCCTGTAATAGAAATTTCATCTACAGAGCATGTCTTGCATAATTTTGTCCTAAGAAAAAGAAATAAAAGATTTCTTGCAAATTCAACAGGAAAAAAAAAAAAAAAGCCCCGAATAGAGCATCAGCAGCAAAGATTTTATTAATATCAAAACACTTCTTTAGAGAAATACTTCATTCAATATCCCAGCTTGGTGAGTTATCACACTTGCACTGTCAAATTTCTTATAAAAGTATAAAAACTTCAAATGTAAATGTTTCTATCTCCCCTTTCTCTGGAGGCCCTGCTGTTTGATCTCCAGAGATCAAACCCCCTTCCCATTTTTAATGATCAACCTGCTGTCTTTTTTTTCACTGTTTTTGTTCTCAGTTTGGAGGATATTTGAAAAGCACCCTCACTGAAAAGAGTGCTCTTTAAATCAACACTTTCTTTATGCTGTTATGACACAAATTTTGTGGAAGCTTGGGTAGTCACTATCCTGATTCCTACAAAAAAAACCCAAAAAACAAACAAAAAAAAACAGCTTTAGGTTAGATTAAAAGACAACAAATGAAACTGTTCTGAAATTTTATTCTCCCTCATATGACCTGAAGGAAATGATGTTAGCCTGTCCAAGGCAACCTAAAACTACATAGCTTAAATCACCACACAGTTAACAATCCAACTTAGCTCTTTAATACAAATGCAAGACTAAAGTGTGAAGGCAAGAATTAGACCACAGTTAGACAAACATTGTTTTCTCAGCTATAAGAACAAATGGAAGTACTACTCTCAACTCAAAGTGCAGTTGCTGACACTTAGTCTTGTTCTTCCTATCAAACACCCCAAGAAAACAAATGGCAACATCAGAGCACTAAACAACTAAGCAATTAAACGCATTTTAATCCAAATCAGATTGCTAGCCTGGTTCACAGGGTAGATTGTACCTGTGCAACTCAAGAGTGCTGAAAATGGGACAGATGTTGAGAAACCAGCACTGCCATGAAAATCATTCCATCACCTGGCATGATGTCTTTGCTGTTCTTGAAAATAAGAGCCACAAAACTATTTTCCTCTGTTTTTAACATCAGTTATTGGACAAGTTCTGAAGACCATATACCTAAATGGGATCTATTGCACTTTATTAATATTCTGTGTTCAAGGCTCAGTAAATCCAGTTTTCTATAGGTTATCTGTTACTTAACTTCTTAGTCACACTGAAGAAAACATTCTTTAATAATCATACTGTGGAAGAGTATACAGAATAGCATGAAAAATAAATGAAACAATGAAAACATATCATATCCAAACATGAAAAAAATTAAACTATGTCTTTAAAGCTACGTACACAATACTTACCTTGCTGCATTGAAATGGTAAGGCATGAAATGTGGTTTCACAACTTTGATTTTAAAAAAAATATTTCCATTAATATTCTGCTATACAAAGATTAAAGAAAAAAAGGAGCTATATGGATCATTTGTTTAATTCTCATACATACTGCCGCAATGTGTCATCTAAGACTGAGCAAACATACATGAAGAAAAAAAAACAATGGGAAACCTAGAGAGAATCTTTTTTCACTTACCACAAACTAGTATAATTCTTTACTAAGACAAAACAAGTAAAGTCTAAAAAACAAAACAAGGGATGAAATGTAATTTATTGTTAGTAAAAGTGCAACAGTTCTCTAGATTAGATAAAAACATTATAATTTGCTAATTCTCAGAGAGAAAAATATACTTGTGAGATCATATTTGAAAGGTGGCAAGTATAGACAACACATACATAGAAGAAATATAATTAATGAAGTAATATTGCTTTAAACTTCCATTCTTCTTTATTACAAATAAGCTAGTCTTCAGGCTGCCAGGTATTTAGAATTCTAACAGAACTACTAATTAGTGATCACCTGTTAGTCAGACTTTAATCAGAAGAGCCATATCCTTAATTCTGACTTGAAATGGAGTAAAATACAAGCTGGTATGAAAAAGCAGCGAGAGCCAATTAAATACTTATGCTGTCTGTTGGCATAGCCTGCATAGTCACTTGAGATGTCTGCTTTTGATGACACTATGGAAACACTAAGAAAAGCTTTAATTTTCAAACAAGTCCCCAAAAGGGTGAAAAACTCCTCTATTTACACTCCCTCTGTTAAACTGCCCAAGGGGCTTTGTCGTGGACATGTGAGAGTTATGATGAACTACTAAAAAAATGTGTTTCTTAAACAGGGTGATGCATGTCAAATGGGGTAATTAAAATGCTGCAATGCATTATTATTGTTTTTGATCAACTATGCCTCCAGTAATGATTATGAGAAAAATTGCCCACAGGCCAGTAAGAAAGTTTACTAGTCAATCACAGCCAAAGAAACAGTAATTGTCCTAGTTACCTGCAGCATAAGGTAGGTCAGCAAGCAGCAGAATGCTGCAACAGGTGCTTCTAGAGCTTGGAGCTCTTCCATTGAATCCTGAAGGTGAAAGCATGACAGAAATGTACTGTACCGTTGCTTTTCCACGTCAGGTCCTTTGGCAAACCACAGTGTTTTCAAATTAGGTGTTCCACCTACAAAAGAAATCCATTATTTTGTCTTGGCAACAACAAGATAAAACATGCATTCCAAATTACAATTTGAAAGGAAACAACTGATCTGCTTTTGGTACTTGCAAGGACCACAGAGTGACAGTAACAGTAATTTGATAAAACCTGGCATTTGAAAAAAACCAAAAACTTAAGGCTTTTAATTCAAACAAATTGTATTGAAAGGTTAGCTACAGGAAAGAAGGGAACAGGCTCTTCAGCAGGGTTTGTTATGATAAAACAAGGGAGAATGGTTTTAGGCTTAAAAGAGGGCAGATTTAGGTTAGATTTAAGAAAAAAAGCATTTTACAATGAGGGTGGTGAGGCACTGGATCAGAAATGTGATGGATGCCCTGTCCTTGGAGACTTTCAAGGCAAGGTTGGATCTGGCCCTGGGCAACCTGATGTAGCTGTGCATGTCCCTGTTCATTGCAGGGGAGTTGGACTAGATGGCCTTTGAATGTCCCTTTCAAGTCTAACGGTTCTATGATTCTATCAATGTAGTAACACTTAAGAAGAGTGGACTGAATTCAACTGTTACAGAACACAGACAACCTTGAGACATTTACCCTTTGCAAGAATAAAGTATGGCTTAAAGTGTGTCCTTTTCCCTGCTCCCCAAGAGCATTAGGTGACATTCGTTTCATCATTAGTTTCATAAAACAGTGATTCAGTGGGATATGACAATGTCTCGTTCTTTTCTCTCCTGGTGACAGTGCATTGGACTCCCTTGAGGTATGCCAGAATCTCCTTTCTCCTGACCACCTTAAGGAACAAACTGGCCACTTATGCCATTTTTCTGGCAAAGCCAGACGTTGCACTCAACAGAACACTGTGCTGGCATAATTATTCTGCAGTAAGTTCACTAGCAAGTTTGGGGAAAAACTAAAAATTAAAAAAAAAAAAAAAATCAAGGCTATCTGACACTCTGTAGTCCCTATGCAAATGTACAATACATTACCGCAAACACATACAAAAGAACAGTCATTGATGAAGTATAATATATCTTTCCAAGCTTTCCTATAGTGCCTTTCGCCACAGTGTCTAAATCTTTAATATTTACTCCTGTTACCATCTCCCAACTTGTGACGCGCTGGCCAATGTAAAATTTGTTCCCTATTTAAATTACATTTAATGCATTATCCAAATAAACACTAATGCACATGAAATAACAGAACAGCTAAGTGGCTATGTGTAAGAAGCCCAATTACTGACTGACTCCTACCATAAAGCACTGCTGCTTCTGTAGATAAATAAAAGAGGTGTAAATTTTAAATGCGGACCAATTAAGCTGCATTTGGTAACACCTTTTTTTTTTTTTTTTTGAGATGTGCAGCTGCTGTAGTCCAGCACCAGAACACTTGGTGATAATAAATTATTAACATGACAAGGCGCTGAATCTATACAGATGATGTTTATTTAGCCAAGAAAGCTCATTAACCAAATGGTACTAATTCTACAGGGAAGGTGAAAGTAGAAAGTTCTTAGTATTTGCTTTCTTCATCTCCCCGCTGTACGTCTGTTTTACTATTTAAGACCAACTTTCTCATCCAAATTTTTAACTACGTTAAGAACTACCACTGCACAAATTGTAAGTTTCTAACCTTTGTAGGAAAGAATGTATGTAGTCCGTAAAACAAAAAAAAACCAATCAAACACAACAACAGTAACTTGATTAGGGTTAGAAAGGTAGGTTAGAGATATCACAAACACTGGTGGTGAGAGGACCCGTATGGACAGCATGATACAGCTAGTTTAGATAGTGGTAACCGTCGCTTTAAGGAAATAAAAAATAGCAGAGTGAATTCCAAGAAGAAATGCAAAGATTACATGCGTAAGAACAAAACAAAGCTGACTTTTCCTACCAAGGCAAAATAAATATAACCTGCAAGACAATTTTTACTCAGGTAAGCCCCAAAAATTTTGCTTTCCCAAAGGTTCACGTTCAGCTGCATGAGGAGAAACTCCAAGAATCAGTTCCCTTTCTGAGTGTAGTTTTTAAAAACGAATTGCATCCAAGGGCATACCTAATAATAGAAATTTTTCTTTCTTCAGAGCAAAACCATGAACTACATCAATAATCAAGACTACATATCTATACTGAGAGAGCTCAACAAAATATTCAAGACATTTCTTCCATAAACAGTTCCTTATACTTTAAGAAGTGAAATTGACTTGCGCCTGGGAAAAAGAGGTACCGATGAATTATGAGTTATTTACTCTGGGAAAGAAAACTTGACACTATCTCCTTTTGGCACATACTGCCAAAGGCGCTATTTTTTTGAAAGAGTCTCAATGCATTCTACAAATAATTAAATTCCATGTCATAATCAAAAGAGAGCCATTTATTAACCCTTAAATGAAAGATAAGTAAAGCAAACAAATACACTGGAGTTTAATGATTCCCTCAGGACCACGTGTACAGTCAACAGACCTAGGATTCATATAAAGTAGATCCCCAAAACAGATTTCTGCTCTAGTTTAAATCTTACAATATACTTTGCAGCAATTGGAAAACACTCCTGAAAGAGAAAATTACTTGGACAACAATGAGAAGTATTTTGCTTTCTTAACACACCTAAACATTTAGTAAACTAATTTTGAAACAACAACAACCACAAGTTAGTAACAAAAGGGAGAGAAATAGAGCAAAACATGCTCAAAAATGCAACATCTTTACAGTAAAGATTAGTCATGAGAAAGGTATTTATCCTATTTGGGTCATAAAAATCATAAGGTCCTATGAACTACAGAAAGAGTCTCAAACTCTGCATATGCTTATGGTTATTCTCAATATACAGAAAACTGTGTGAAAACAGTATTCAGTAGCATATAAACTGTAGTCCTTGGGCACTCCCAGAAAGGGGACATCACAAAGAACTCCATGGGGATAGTAAAGGAAATGGTAGTACTTGCATAAATACAAACACGGTCAAAACAGTAAGTGAGAGAAAAATAATTTGCTATTTTTTCCCCCCTTTTCATTCATAAATTTAAATACACTTTCATCATGAAAAATATTTCATCTGTTTGAACTTCAATAACCAATTTATGAAGATGCATCGCATGCAAAATGCATTAACACTATGGGATCATTGAACTTACACAAAGCTGACTCTCACCTTCTTACCAGCTTAAATTATGTCATCATTCTGTATATGGACATAAATGTATAATATTAAACTGTTTACATCTGTTTGAAGTAGTGACTGTTGACATTTCACTTTAGAACACCAGTAACAAAACAGCAACATTTCATTATTTTACACGCTCATGTAAAAACTAAGCAACAAAAATAAGATTATAAAAATATACTGGCCAATGCTCAGTGTACAGGAGTGCTCAATCTTAACATATGATCAACCTTGGCTAACTCTAAAGATGCTAGAAACCCAAACACCAATTAAATCTGACAATTAAAGAAGCATTCAGGAAACAGTATCAGAAAAAAGGTAACTGGAATATGAGCATACTCATGACATATTCCTGCAAGATACAATGATTAGAAGACTGAAAGTATATCCAGACTCCTTCAGGATAAAGTATTCCCCATACACAACAAGCTACAATATCCCATATGTTTTCATAAATAAAACAAAATGCAAAATCCATACATGTGTAGTAAACATTTTAAAACTTTGTTCCATAACAAATTGTACAGACATCAAATGAATGTTCACACATTATGTACGTTAAACAGTAATTTCTTAGATCATAGATCTTCTAATGAAATTCATTTCTCAGGCACATGTTTTAAAATCACTTTAAGTAATGCTCTGTTGGTGTGTGGGAAACATTGCAAACACACTCATTCAGCTGAAAGGAAACATTCCAGAAGGGAGAAAGAGAAGGAGAGCAAGCAAAGATACTAATTGAGAAGATTCGCCCAAGAAAAATGCATATAAATAATAAACACTTCAGTTTAAATACATTTTAAACTATCATTTTACAGCCTTTAGGATTCGATGTTTCATTTAAAAAAAGCTAATATTCAATATATCACCAGCAAGCTTTTCATATTCACGGCAGTTCTGCTGTTTTACACACAAAAATCCATGCCTTGGTAGAAATAGAAATACTTTTTTTTTTTCCAAGATCAATATGAAATCTATAATTTTTAATGAAGCGCAATTCAAAATTCATACCAAATATTCTCTCTTTTTTAATCTAAATCAAATACAAGAGTCAAGATTTCCCATATATTCTCAGTACACTTCTAAAGTAGTTACTACAATGCTATTCTTTTTTTCCCCCCAAAATTAAACAAAGAACTTCCTCAGACTGATTGCACCTGTGATTTCTCAAATAGTTTCTCCTAAGGTTTCTTGTCTTTTTTTGAGTAACCTGATCTTGATTGACAGCTTTGAACTCTTAACTTCCCTTAAAAACTTCTTTAAAAGTAGCTCTAAATGTGATCCCTGTCTGAAAAATGTGATGCGCTGTAGAGAACCTTATTTGGTGAATTAGAAAGACGTGCTGTGGAAAATAAAAGATGCATGAGCGAATGTAAGGCATACAAATATGGACTGCAAAAATTTTAGAAAAATATTTGTTCGCTGAAGGAATGACAACAGAGCACTAAAAATAAACACTAGAAGTCCTCCACCCCCTTTTTAATAGTCTGCTAGAACAGCCTTTCATTACTGAGTTAGTGAAGATTATGTCTCCAAAGATAATGTTTTTGCAAACTCCTGATATGCAGCTGCTGTACACAAACAAACTCAAAGTAATTTGAAATTCTATTTATTGTCAACATGAAGGTGGGTTCTGTGCATGGTATGTTTGCAGAGCAGTAGAATCAGAGTACATTCCTCCCAAGAAAGGAAGAAGGAACTATATTACCTAGGAAGGAACATTTCACAACAATAAATATCATAATATTTACCATGCAATCAGAGAGTAACTACATGGAAATCATTTATACTTTGTTGAGTTTGTTTGTTTTACAATTGCATGTCCTCACACCATTATACGCTGAAATAAAACAGTTCTACAGGATGGGCAAATCAGTTTTTACCCTGCCTATTCATATCCATCTGGAAAATTTCACAATGATTTTATGCCATCATCAAGTCAATTAGATAATCACTCTGCTAATAACATATTGGAGCTACTGCACAGTGAAATTACTGTATATCAAATGAAGGGCTTGTTTGCACTTTGTTTATATAACTCAATTCTTTCCAAACATGTCCTTTCAAAAGGATTTTGAACAGGCTGCTATCTAAAGATCAGCTGTCTTTCCATCAATCTTGAATTTGAAGACTGTTCTAAGGTATTACCAGCTTTAATAATGAAGATAAATATACAATCTTAGGATACTTTAAGAGACATTTTACTGTAACATCTAAAGCAATCCCTAATAATAACAACAAAAAAGGCAGCATGCTCCAACTTGATGTGTATATTCACAAAAAAGCAGTGAAAGGATTTAAACCAGATCAGAAAGTGGACTGCTATGCAAAGCTCTGAGTACTGAAAGAAATGTTAGAGATAACTCTAAAAAATGTATTAGCTGATCATTTTTCTTAACTAGATATCAAAAGTATATCAATGGAAATAATGTTTTTCCTACAAAAACCACAAATCCTCTGAGCTCCTGGATCCACATACTATTGGTTGAAGAGAAAGAAAGAGAGCTGTGAGAATATAGTGGTTGCAGGCACAGTAGCATGGTCAAATTAACGATTAGAACAATTTTCCCTCTCAAAAGCAAACAAACAAAAAAAACCCCAAATGATATAGTACTGTTTACTTCCTATGCTAAACTTGTAGAGCATGATATAGTTTAGTGATAAAGAGATAAGTGACATATACAGTGCCCAATCTTTTAACTAAAGTATCCTTTCCCATGAACACATCCCTCATAATGATTTCACAGAGTGCTCAAGAATACATCTTTTACCAAAGGAAAGATGGTATGAAAACACTCAGTGCTTAAGACAGTGAAAGACACCACACAAAGACAGGTAGCCCCACTACACTTCTGCTGAAAACTGGGTTCTCTTTTCTGAGTTGTCTCAGGTGATCTAAAATTGCTATATTCTCTACCAGTCTCATTAACTCATTCTCTCAGCTCCACAGGAGAATTTTAATTATAACCCTGCACACCACTTATCGTGGCCTCAGAGCAGTATTTAAAACATTTAAGGAATTGTTTGCATTTTAGAATGAATGTCTGAATTAGCACTGGGTTCCACAAGACACGGTAATAAGATATAGCTCAAAGCTGAATCCTATTATAATTACACAGGGCAAATAGAAGCAATTATAGGCAGACAGCATTTTTAGTTTAGCTTCTAGATTTCCACAACCACTTTGGATATCGTGTCTGATGATGTCTTCAGATGTCTGATGTCTTCTAACCTGGTTTCAGTGATGTCACTATTTCAGATTTTAAACACTATTTCATCCTACCTGGAATAGAGGGCTGCACAGGTTGTATCAGGTCTGGCTGCTGTAGAGGATTTCCACAATAGACAAACCATTCTTTTACCATAGGACAGGCTCCATCTAAAAATAGACAGAATTGGGTGAATAAGAGAAGAGCAAGTACTGACAATTGTATAAAATAAAGAGTGGTGGTAAGGATTCTAAGTAATAGAAAGCACTTCACAGTGACGTGTTTGTTCAGCTTCTTTAAAAACAAACCAACCAAGAAAAATTAATTTTACTATCTTTATGACAAACCATCAGGACAAGGGAAGAGAGTTTTTATTATGTACAATAAATGCTGAGTTTTGACTTGGGAATTACAGTCAGAAATACGAATGTAGAATGGTTTTCACTGACTTTTTCAACGTCCTTCATCCAATGTGAGGCCCTCCCATTCTAAGGCAGCTCAGGCAGCTGCAGAGGCATTTGGTGTAGCTTAGGGACCTGCATGAGCTACCTCAAACTCACAGGGCCACATACGCAGCCAGTCCTCAGCACGGTTCTCTTCTCAACTTGACCTGATGGTTCCCATGCCTATAAAGATAAAATTTTCAGAGGCTTTAACTATCTATTTGAAAGCTCACAGCAGTGGAGTCACACCACAGCAAGACGCAGAGCTTTTAGATGCCACTGTTCCCAATCTTTTATTTGGCATAAAAAGATTATTTATGTCTAATAGCTCAAGTGGCTTGTTAGCTCTCAAACCCCAACCATACCTCACCATCCCATGTAAAGACTAAGGTGTTTCTTTACTTAAAAACTCTACTTTTGAGCCACACACTCTCCACCCCATACCGACTTTTAAAGTTGAGCTCACATTTAAATTCTAAGGGAAGCTATTTCCTGACTTTGTCCATAGTTCCATGCAGAAAATGACTGCTGGCATAAAATTCCTCAGATATGGTGCTAGTCTCAGGGATATGCAAGAAAAGAACATGACAAAACATTTTACTGCCCTGCTTCTTCTTTCTTCCTCAAGCATGGACCTACAGTACAAACTCCCAGTAAACTGAAGAGTTGGCAGCTGACTTGCGAAGGACAGCCCTACATCTGTTCTTAGGATGCTTCATTGTTTGAAAACTGCTGATACAAAGAATACAATGAAAAATTCCTTCAGTAGGGGAAATAAACACATTAAACTGAGTATTCTAGTACATGAATAGTTTCACATCTTGTTTACAAATTACTACCTATGACAGTGTTATTTCATTAAGAAAACCTTCAAATTTAATATCTCAAAGTCACTTTCACAAAGCATTCTGATGATTTAGCATTCTGTTTTAAGGGTTATTAAGTAAATTACTCTGATTTATTCAATCCATTCAGCTTGTTCAAACTCCCAGGTTTCAGCCTGGCTTCTTAAGGAAGCAAGGCTTATACAATTAAGATGCCTTTTAATTAATCAATGGACCCACAGGTCTTTTTCACCTCAATATGGAAAAGCACAAAAGATTTCAACCATATGAAAATGCAAAACATTTCACAAAGTCAGTGACTTGGCAGACAAGAGGATCCTATCAGGGCACCAACTGAAAGAAAGGCAGGGAAGCCAAGTTACCTCTTCCACCTCAAATCAAGATAGCAAATAGCTGTGGAAGAAATAGAGCTGAATAAAGACAGACAGGATCTGTGGAGAGCAACAGACAGTAAGGGACATACTTGAGAACACAATATATTGCATGATGGAATGCTGTGGATGTGAGAAGTTAAGAGGACAGCAAGAAAATGGAAATACAAAACTTTGCTGAGGGAAGCTGGGGGAGCCACAAAGCTCCACAACTCACAAAACAGCTTATCAAAATGTCACTTGATTCTAAATGCCAGTGAAATACTATTTTTACATCACCCATTGAGCTGAAGAACATTAAAAAGAGGAAACAGTTGGAAACTTATAGTATCATCTTTTTAATCTATGCAGCATCACATCAGCCCAGTGCTTTTCACTGTTATAATCCTTAGTAAGAGAAATATATGACTGTTCTCATAAGATGCCAAATAAATGCAGCTGAAACCTAAGTCATGCAAATTCTCAGCACATTAACCTAGCAAGAACAAAATGGAGGTTTGATTACTAAATGCCAAACCTCCTGGCATGGAATTATTGCTAGGGGAAGAGAAAAAATAAAAGGTTTAACTTTTCAAATTTTTCCCCCCAACAATGCACATACAGAATATCACCAATCGCATTCAGAAACAACAGCTCCTTTGCTTAAATAGGTTCTGAATGAACCACGAAAGGTCTGCCTAGCAGGTAAAAAACAAAAAAACAAAAAAAACCACCTATGTGCAAAACACCAAAATTAGAGACTGCTGGAAACTCTGTGCTCCTCTACATCTGGAACAACAGCCCTACTGAGCTATCCCTGGTGGTAACTGGCAAAAATTCTCCTAATGGCCTGTTTTTGACAGTGTCAAAAGCATGGTCAGTCTTGGCTGCTAATCTTAGAACTGGGAGTGATGCCAGGACTTCCAGGAGCTGGCCACGTGTTCAGGCCACATTACATAACCTTGCAACTGGTGCAGGTATTTCCATGAACTGAGCTCATGCCAAAACCCGTCGGCTTTGTTCTGAATTCTTTGTGCACAAAAGAGCTTGGCTGTACTACTTAATGTTTTTTTTCCCTCCTCTGTAATTTTTTCTAATAGTACAACTGTTCTAAGAACAATGCTAGAAGTTGTCAGCTTACGTATCACTGTAAACAATACTCAACCTAATGATGAGAAGAAGCTCTAATAGTATTAATTATATATATTTTTTAAAGACAGGCAACAAATGCTGTATTGTCAAGATCACTATCAGTTTCCTGTTTATTTTCATTGAGTCAAAATAAGGCTCTGATTCTGGTAACATTTCAGTGAGTAAAAGTACACACATGCTCACCATACACCAAATTACAGTCAAAGTAATAGCTCCATGAGCAGTTCTTCCAGCACACTTGCTCACATCTTCAGGTAAGAATTGATTCATTTATTCCTACTCCCTGTCATTCCTTCACCATAACTGTTTGTGACTACAGAGCTGGACAGGGAAACTGAACCAGGTTAGTTACCCAACTGCAAGGAAGTAAGAGGGGAGAAAGTGACTATTTTCTGTTTCTCAATATAGGTCACTATGTAGCTTCACAAACAGCTGCACCAGCACAACTGTGAGTTTGCAAAGGGACTGAAATGAGTGGCTGTGCAAGAGAACTAAACTGGCACTGCTTATTACGCTATGGCTTCAGGCAAAGTGGCATCTTCTATGCAAGTGATTTCAAAGGATATGATATCCAGCTCCTGTTGATTCTTGGCTATCTTAGGCTTCTTGAAAACCTCAACCTAAACATTCAAAACTAACAAGAGCTTCTTGTTTCAAGGTAGACAAAGCAGATTAAATAATTTCTAAACTAAAACTGCAATCACTGCTTTTGCAAAATATTGGCTGCTGTTATCTCTATTTTAAACAGTAAATAGGCAGATTTGTGAATTGGCCTGCAAAATGGAACGTTGTATAGTTAGCCAACTTGGTTTTGCATGAACTACAGTGACAGTTTTTTCCATGATGGCAGCAGACTCCACGTGCACTAACCTAATTGGTTGATTCCTTCCAGTAAACTCTTATTTTAATGCTAATTCAAAGTAATTCTACATTAAATGACAATCTGCATACAGCGTAGTTTACATCTCCCCCTTCTACCTCCCACTGAATTACAAAAAATAATTGACTTTATCTGAGTCAAACAGGTAAAGGATTCTGCTTTGCAGAGGACGCTACTGCCTTGTAGCTTTAGAAGCAAATTCATAAAAAAAGTAACATGGACATTTACTTATAAATTTCCATACAGCCTAATTAATGGTCTATGCTTTTGCTCTGGAAGCAACTATACACTGGAATAAAATATCAAGCAACGAAGTACTGGAAAGCAACATAGTTATAGCAGCTAGTAAATACATGCAGGAAATTAATAAATGCAGATTCAATATGGGATCCATGCACATACACTCCATGTATCTTTTTGGAAAGGTAAGGACTGGAGGTGTTCAGCTTAATCTAATGCAGAATTCTTTTTCTGGAACTTGAAGCATGAACTGAGAGCAAGAAATATGTGGTATCTGTGGTTTTATTTTAAAAAATCACTTTCTTAAAAGAAAATCTCCTTTGTGTCCAAATTTCATATTCATTAGAATTCTAAATTAATGTTTCTGCATTTCAATTCTAATCTACTTCATCTGAGTACTACAAAAAACTAACACAGATGCAAATCTGCCCACTACCCTGCCATCTTGCAGCAACAATTGTTAATTGGAAGTTTTGGTTTGGGGTGTTTCTGAAAACATCAATGAACATCCTGCTGCGTAGAGGAATAAACAAAACCCAACCAAGTTATAATTGTCTACAAAATTTAGAGGCAGTAGGCCGAAAAATGAAAGATGACAGATGTGCATGGCTACTGCTGAGCTTTTTGTTTTTCTCTCTAAAGGACTGTGTAAACTCTAATTCAGTTTTTCCAATTTTTTTTTCCTATTATGGCATGACTTCAAACTCCAGTTGGTGAAGGAAGTCAGGTACTTAATATATAAGGCTTTTCTTTGAATTTTGAATATTATGTTGATAGTTTTGCACTTTCATTTATAAAAATGTAAAGTGATTAGCAAGGGGAAAACAACATATTAAAAAGAATAAAAGCGCAGTACAGTTTTAATTTTCAAGTCACTGCCTAAAGGCCACTGAGAGCATAAATAATTCCGCGTCTTAAAGTAGAATAGAAGCACAGATACACCCACTGCAGAATCTACATACACCACTGGATAAATAAATCTTACTTTCTTCCACATTGATAAAAGCACTAATAATCACCAGCATGATTACTCGTGTTTGTATTACTGCAGTAAACACATTTGCCTACCAAATGTTCTTAAAATTGCAAACTTAAAGTCAACAGCAGGTAAAATGGCAACAGTGCATTATTGCTTTGCAGAAGAATATTACAGCTGAAGCTAATTCATTAGGAGCTGTATTTTCTAAAGCAAAATAAGGTTTCATATCCTCTCAAACTCTTAAAATGACCTAAACGTCACAGTTTTGCTCAATCTTTTGATCATTAACAGCTTTCATAACTTCTCATTTAACAAAATATTTTTTAAAACATCTCTTTAAAAGCACTGAAATTTAGCAACATGTGAAGTTTTTTTAGCTGATTCCTCACAAAGTACATTTCAGCTGCCCAGCTTTTATCCTAAGTGCCATGCTGAATTAGCCAATGAAACAATGAATTCAAGATTTCCGATTTCAGAATTTAAAGTGTGCTTGAATAGTACCGTAAGGAGCCTCAACCTTACCTCCTTCTGATTCCAACAAGACAGAATAAATATGCTGACGAGCAGGGCGATAGATGAGTGCCTGTCCAGGAATCTCTGTATCACAATCATCTTCCAAAGAGTTGCTGCACTCAAGCACTCCATTACTCAGGATATTGAAGATTGCATAATTTTCAGATTGGATGTGATGTTCTTTAGCTAACTGTTTGTTCAAAGAAAGAAGGCGTTATCTTCAAAAGTAAGAACAATCAAATAGTAAAAACAGAAAAAAATAAATGGATTCACTACTGGAAGACACACTACTTTATCAGGAGAAGACGACAGAATGTTTGGGAGGGAACAAGCACTTTTAAAAAAGAAGGAGCACAGTATACTTTCAGACACGTATCATTTTGTGGATAGGGATTACCAGGGAACTCATAATTGCCCTTCTTTTTATTCTCTCCCTGAATTCTAAAAATTGGTAGTTGTTTTTCCATGACATCTTTTAAATAAAAGTAATCATTCCTCAAATTAATTCTGAATGCAGATGTAGAAAAATGAACTGCCCTCCACTAGTCACTTGTCTTTCCTCTCAAAAAAGGGTATGTGCACTTAAAGAAAAAAAAAAAAGTGAAAGCATGACAAAACCCAACCTTTTTATTCTATTTCCAGATGAACTACACCAGTCTCTTTCGAGAGTAGTTGAATTTGTGTAGTTTACACAGTGGTGAATCTGGAATATCTAAACTCACCACAGTCTTACTTTGCAATAGTTTTTCTCCCAGGGAAAAAATAGTCTGCTGCAGTGAGGAAAACAAGGTCTCCATACTGGCTAAGAAGCAGAATCACAGCAGTGCCCAGACTGCAGGTTACACTAGGTACAGACACATCCGTATGCAGAGAGTACCAACAGGGACTGTTGGTCTGGAACATCTTATATGGAAAAGCAACAGAGCTGCTCTCAGGCACCTAACCCTAACCTGGACTCGGCAAGGGCAGAGACAGCCATACTTGGTACTTCACAATCTCAAACCAAACTGTACGGATGCTCAAATAGTTGAATGAGACCTATTATTTCCACAGGGTACCACTAGTAGACTCTCTTGGATCCATATTGTATGGTGAGCAGGCACTGAAGTTTCTCTGCTCAGCATTCCCTATGTGTCATGCTATCTATGTGACTTGGGTTGTGCATATACACAACACTCTCAGTCTCCTTCACTGGGAATTACCAGATCAGAGAAACTCACTGTCCCTACAGAATTCCAGTGTCTGCCAGAATGGGAACTCAGGAGTTCAAAGCTGCAGTCAAGCACTGGCCATTATGGATCACAACTAACTCAATTTTTGTCATACTTTCCAAAGAACTGAGCATAAAATGAACAGTAGGCTTCTGCACAATCAATAGAGCATTTTCTTATAGCAATATATCTATGGTTGCCCTGGAACCATATCTCCCTAATCTGCTTTTACATAAAACAAAACCAAACCCGAGGGAAGCGGTAACATGAGGTTATGTCCTTGAACTTGGAACTGGGCTGAATGTGCCAGTTATCTGCATTTTATATAATGTACAGGGCAAATGGAATTATTTTAAAGATTCCAAAATATGAAACAAAGCACACACACAACATACGAATATCTAAACACTTGCTGTAGAAAAGCAGAAGACTAGTTAACATGTCTTCAATTTTGACTGTAATTTCCTTGGCTCAGTGACTGGCTTAACATAGGATTTATGCAGCAACATAGCATGAGGTGTTCTTCAATGAAGCTTCTAAACATTAATATTTTCAAACAGCAGTAGCTCAGCACAATGCTAGAGAACTGCAACCCTTAAAATGAAAGATCAAGAAATAATGACCTCTTGTCATAAATACCACATGATATGTTCTCTTAAGGAGTAAGGATATTGCTACTATTGTCCTGGCTGTAATCCAACATAGATGATTACATTCTACCTAGTTTTTCCTTGCACTTCAAACATAAACAGTATTTGTCAACATTTAATTAGGATGTAGTGGTGTTTTTTCTTTTCTCAATGGTATCTTCTATTTAACTAGTACAGTGAAAAATTACATGTATTTTATTTGTATGCGGTTAACATCAAACCCAGACATCCACAGTTTAGCTGAAGTGAGTATTGCATAGGTTTTAATTTAACTTTTAAGTGTTTTGGAGTCTTTCTGAAAAGGAAAATGTATGTTATAGGATTACACGAGAGTAATATAATGAGGAAACAGAAGAACAGCTTTAAAGGAAACTAAGTAACAGACAGACAAAAAAAAAATTCTCTCTTTGAAGCCCCTATGTATGTACCTCACAAAACAGGGAGTAACAGTAATA